CACGAAGGTAAAGGAAGGTGTGAGACAGAAGGGGCAGGGTCTAAGAAATAGATCCCTGTTCAAGTTGGAGGTACTAACAAATGGATGCATTGAGCTGCTTTGACAAGGACTGCCGGTTTTCAAGGCTACCTCATTTGAAAGAACCCTTGCTTTTTTTTGCATTTTTTCCCCCCCTAATACGATGTGTGCTAGATGCGATTAAAAATGTGTAATTCAGCGATGCTGAAAGCCACAGAGCAATTTTATTCCGGTCTTTCAGCACCGCCTCTGTACAGCCTCAGCTTTATTTTGTCATTTGCTGAGAGCTGCCTGTATCTTTTGAAACGCTAGTCTGAATTAAGGAGCATCTATCCCCTGCCCTTCTTACCAGAAACGGCTAGATGGATACAGAAAAGAACTTCGTGGTTAACCGATATGCTGCTAATATTTCATCCACCGGCCTCCTTCTCCTCCGTCACCCCTCCACTCCCCCCACGGCTTTAAAACTTCAACTCTTGGAAAAACAACATATTTTAAGCTTTCCACGCAAATATTGATATTGGCAAATAAAGCCAGCCCCCAGCATTTGGTTAGAGACAGTCTTCTTTTTGTTTCTACCCCGGGCAATCCAAATTAATCCACTGTATTACAAATTGCCTCGAAATATTTGACTTTTCCTGACAAAACCCATACCCGGCATATGTCACCACCAGAGACATTTTTCCTAGCCCATTTGTGTGCTGGCTCTTTTTAGAATATATCAGGCTGAGATGTGCAGCGAGGAGATGACATGACCCGACCCAGCAGGAAATTCTCTTATTTCTGTTTGCGTTTGTGCCGTGGCAAGACACAAAATGTTTCGCGTTATCAAGTAACCAGGTAAAGCAGAACTGCGCAAGCTTCAATCTTTGCCTCGCCCCCTGTTCGCAGGGCAAGAGGTGCCACCAGGTGAAAGCAGGTCCCCCACTTGGACCATTTGCCATCACAGAGCATCTCTCCCGAGCAGGGACAAGTCCTTCCCACATCTCCCTGGCCGAGGCTCTGAGCCTCACCCGGCACTTTACATGAAAAGCAACAACTTCCCGAGCCATTACCTGGAATTAAACGCGAATGAAAACGGCACAAACGTGAAGGGGCCGTGTAAAAACGCAGCCATTTCCTATTGGTTTTGTTTGTTTGTTTGATTTTTTGTTTGTTTGATGCTTTTTAAGAATTTCTTTTCGGTGCAATGTGGCACAGAAATCCGTGGGGCTGTATCCCCATGCGCTGGAGAACGAAGCTGTCGCTCGTGGGCTGGAAGCCAGGATCTGTGCCGCTGTCCCGGCCGCAGCCCCTCGGCGTCGCTCCGGAGCGCCCACAAGCACCGGCCGCACCTCTCCCAGAACCTGCGAATTTTAAAGGAAATAATAAATAAAAAGCCACCAGAAACGGCCACTTCTTGAGACTTTTTATTTTCGATATTTTTATTTTCTAATCCCGCAATAATCTTTCTTTTTTTTCATGCAGGTTTACACCATCGTTTAAAATAAAAACTGCTGGAGAACCTGTTTCGATCGCACGAATAGCAGCGTGTTAGACAAACGAGCCAAGCTTACGGCTGACCTGTGTTCTTGCAATGAATAACCTCTCGAAACTCCCCTAGCCTGAAATGGTGAAAAAAAACCCCCACACTATTTGGACAGGACAGCTCTCATCTCATGATCAGAATGTAGCAGGAATATACAACCCATTTTATTTGTGTACGTTCCTTTTTTTTTCAGATCACAGCTCACAAGCACAGAAAATTGTGCCGGTTTGAAATACAGGCATTTATCCTTTATTAGAATTTAACAAGTTATAGCACTCTCTCCTAAAAAGCTGTCTTCCATCTCGGGATATATGTGGAATATCTTGGCTGTGGCTCAACTACTTGGTTGTGCTTATTTGCATTCAGAATTGAAGTAGTGCTTCTCAAAAAAAAAAATTTGCTAACCCCTGGTTTCTTTGTATAAGCGTAATTTAACAAATGAATACGTTAGAAATAAAGAAAACCCGACCCTTAGCTATTAACAAACGTGTCTTTTATCACTTCTTAACTTTGTGAAATAGGCATTTGTTGTTCCCACATAAAACGATGTTACCTGCTTTATTGTTAAATAACTATCAATTGCATCTCACTCAGAAGTAATTTTATATCTTCTTAGATATTTGGCTTATTTAGTGTTTTACGGTGTGTTTGGGGGGGGGGGAACGCTATATAAGTAGCAATCAACCAACTAAGAAAAGGTTACTAATTCCAAAACAAATCTATTTAACATTCGAATGAAGACCAGGGAAGAATAAATGCTCGTCCTTGTAGCTAGTTAGGTACTAACCTGTTGTGTCAGCATCTGTCACCAAAATGACAGAGGAAGTGCTCACAAAGGACAATCCACTTGTCTAAATGACCTGTAAATAACCGTGTAGCTCATAGTGTCATTAACTTCAGCTTCCAGTCCGTGTAAGGATGGTCAGTCTGGGGAAGTTAGGCAATATTTCCACTAAAAATCTCTTTGGAAATTCAGCCCCTGTTCTTTTGGCATCATGGAACTTCTCTCCAATAGCTATTTTATTGCTAACAAACCTTCAGCACAACTTGACAGCAGCAGGCACCAGAAAGTGCCTTCAGCATGCAGCCAAGGGCATGTGGTAAACATTTTTCTGACCATCATCTACCTTGAAAACTAGGAGAGCAGTTATCCACAAGACCCTGCTTTGTTTATGTATACTGTTACTTGCAGGCCATACCTATCTCCTTCCTTACACTTGGCATATTTTCCTGACTTTGTGTGAGAAGAGATTCCCATTCCTATTGAACCATACCTACATCCCTGACCAGCTGACATCCCAATCTCATATCTGTATGAATACAGGTATATGAAAGCATATGCAAAAGTATATATGAAAGTTTATATACATGTATAGATATACATTTCTCATGCAGACTAAAAACTGCAGCGACTGACAGAGTAATATTCAAACAGCTATTTGACAACTGCTAAAATAGTTAATTTATTTTTCACTCATGACTGTAGAAAGAAAAAAACAAAACACTAAAACCCCAAGTTGCTGGGGGCTGGTTTGTTTGGTTGTTTTTCTTCTCCAGCTAGTACAGCTAAGTACCAACTGCTTGGAACTCAGATGTAACATCAGGCAATTCAATCTTTTTTAATATAATTAAGAGTTCTATTCCTGCATTTTTGGGGCCATGTGGTAATAGCTACTTTTCATATGTGTTTTTCTGACAAAAGAAAAGCATACTAAGATTACACAGTATCCCAGAATATTAGTCTGGCTTCCATGAATACTATTAGAAGGAATTTCAGTATGTATAAAGGAAAGACTGTACCTTCATAAACACACATTGCCGTTATCATGAGAATCCGAAATTAAAATCAAAGAGATATTAATCCAATGTATTGCTCATTGTGCTTGTAAAGGAAGACCAAGAGACAGTTTTGCAGCCATGTGTCTGAAACCAGATTTGGATGTCACCTGGGGCAAGTTTTTTAAAAATGTAAACACTATGTACAGTGGACATGCCTTTAATGAATGCATGTTCGAATAACAAGACTATCAATAATTAATTAGATTTATTTACTAAGTCAAAGTGTAACACCAACGCACCCTGCACCAAAGCAATGTCTATGCTACACATGGGCTATTTACATATCTGTTAAAACACAAAATGCCTTTGACCAATTATCTTTCTGATCAGCATGGGTATTGTGTCAGAAGTAGGTAAATCTGCCCTTTATACAGAGAGAAATATTTCATCTCAGACTTTTGTCATTCAGGTGTGGATGATCTGACATTAGCACCTCGTTAACATGAAGACTACTGCCTTTTGGGGAGGTTATTTTTTTCTTTTCTGTTGCTGCAGGTGTTTTTTCCTGATGCCCCCAGGTAAGTTGCACAGGAAAAGACAGCCCAGGCATCTGTTCAGGAGAGCTGGTAGAAAGCTCCTCAATTTTCTTTGGGGAGTAACACAATCAACGGCTCAACGCATAAGTGCACCCTGTTGTTTTCCTCTTTGTTTCAAATGAATGCTTTCCTACACCCCAGAGTCTCAAGCTTCATACATACAAGGAAGATTTTTTTAAAGGAGCTCATGCATACAAAGGAAGTCCCTCCTTCATCTTAAAAGATCTTCATGGAATGGAAAAAAGGGTCAAGGAGATGATGCTAGTGAGCCTGGAAGAAATCTGAAGCACTGCAAAGGCAGCAGAGCATCCAGGATGCAGTTTCAGGGTTCTGTGATGTAAGTTTTGCTGGACTGTCACTGACTCACAGCCACTCCAAATCAGAACAGATTGACAGAAAACCTTACTTTTAAGAATATGTTCTTGTTCTAAATGGGAGTTACTGCATCAGGGGGTAGGTGTGGAGGGGACAAAGAAAAGTGGAAAAAAAAAAAAAAGAAAAAGAAGAAAAAAGCCCAAAATAACCAAAATGAAAAAGAGAGAACTAAAATAAAATCCCTAAAAGACACAAAAACCTAATAAAACTTCTTTCAGAGTAGGGCTTGAAAAATTCATGTCATAAATACCCACCAAGTGTATCATCTGTGTTACCTCTGACCTTACCTACTCTAAGATGTGACCATGAACACCAAGGCATGTTGGTTGCTTCACCTTATCTCTGATTGCAATAAAGGTCTTCTGCTAGCTTGAACAGAAGCTGCACCTTGCATGTTTTCTGCATTTGGTCAGACATACTTTGAACATTGCAATTCTGAGAAAAATTTGCTGGATACAAGAAGACATCATCTTATTACACATTGCAATGTTATGTAATGAAAACAGCATACTTAATGCATTAATTTATCTTGGTTATATTACTTAGCTTATGCAGACTAAGCATATTATGAACCTAAAAGGCTTGTCAGTGAATATTGTCACTCCAATTTATAATTTAGTAAACTGTATATTAAATAGCTACCATTTATCTTTGCAAAATAAAAGGCCAAAAAAAAAAATGTTTCCAAACCATTTTATTCAGGCTGGGAGGTATTTCTCATTCAGAAATACCCTGAAAACAAAGAGATTAAGTCTAATAATTTTTATACAGCAGATATTTTTTTCGATATAGATGTAGATACAGATAGATATAGAAAGACCCATAAAATCTGAAATAGCCCTTATTTACAGTTTTGGTGATGTACAGTATATTATGGATACTCTAGACAAATAGAGGGAACAATCTGCAAGGAGTGTTAAGCCATGAACCTCCTGATTTTGTATTTTGATTTCCAGTTAATACCTGTAACAGTGGCTACACACACTACCAGGTGCAGTGGTAGACATCTTGAAATAACAAAATTTTCCATAAAAAATTTAGAACCTCGATGTTAAAAGCAAACCCACAAAAGCTCCACTATTTGTTGATGACAGTTAAAAGTCATTATATTGCAGATCCTGAAATCAAGCTGAGCACTAACTTCATACATTTGGAAACTAACTAGGCGAAATAAACATCTACTGACAATTTATACCCTGTTGCCAACCACAGCATTTCTATAGTCAGGTTAAGCAACCTGACCATAATTCCCCAGGAAGGCAAAGAAATATTTTCTGAAATAGGTTGCACTGACTTTTCAAAAGCAAAGTGATAATAAAAACAGGACAGTTGTTCAAACAAGTAAAATTATTTACTGGAGATTTTCAATGAGGTCAATCATCTTTTTACCTGAAAATGAATGCAAGTATTCACAAAAATGGAGATAAATGCTTTTAACTCATAGTTAGATATACGTTATCATAAAAAACACTTTACAAAATAACAACACATGTTAATTTAAATACATTTTAAAAACAGCCACAATGCAAGAATTTATGTTTTTACTGACTGAAGTTTCAAGCCCCATTACCCATTCCACCTCTTTCTCCATCTACAGGGGGTTGCAGCTTACAAAGACAAGGAAATACCAAAAACAGCCTTTTCTTAGATCCAATTAGCAACTTATACCCTCAAACATTAAAAACATTAAAATAATGTTAGGCTTTGAAATCAAGGAACATTTTCTGTCCTCTATGCTCATGGATAAAGCATTGACTAGAAGTAATGCGTTAGATACCCATGAACACATGTGTTAGATACCATGAGACAGTATTTCTTTTTCTCTAGGTTTCCTTGCACCACAAAACATTTACACACAAGTCTGAAAAAATTAAATTGAGTTAACAGTGACATATAGATCTAATTTGACATTATCCCAAAATGAAATGAGAACCTTTTATTATTTTTTTTTAAATCCTCCAGGAAACAGTATTTGAAAGTAAAAAAACATAACAGGTTGCTTTATTATATTATGACAATAATTTATGATGTAAGATCTAGAGGACTACTTATATTCCTAATAAAAGTGCATGCTCAACATTTGTATACTGGTTCAGTAAAATATTCTAAACAGACTTCTCTAAGAATGGCATTGCCAGCTGTTATAGCTCACAACACAGTTTGCAAGCATGTATTTTATTTTGTGAGAAAATGAGAATTCAGCGTTTCAATATGTGACATACATCACATGAATCCTTATTATATTTGGACTCATCCAGTTCTTATAAGCAAGCTTAGCTTAGCTAAACTTAGTCTCTGCACAACAAACCTTGTAGAGTTAATCACTTCTGCATTCTATACCACATGAACATATAAGCAATTGGAAACACAAACTATGATAACTTACTGACAGGTATAAAATACTTTGACAAAAAAATCCCACAAAACCCAAACCACTGTAACCATGTATAATGAAGTAAGTCAAAAGTAGTTAACTGAAACTGGTTTATTGGTAATAAATGAAATATACAACAATACAATTACAACAATACAACAATTGATATTCAGAGCTGTCCATATGTGTGTCTGTGTTTGATTAATTCAACTAGTTATCTCCAATATTCAGCTAATATTTTTAAGCTTTTGCCTTTTTTTGCCTGCTCCCCATCCTCCGCTTAGCTCCACTGGATGGTCTCGAAATGATATCCGTTCTCTATGAGATGGACCCAAACATGATTTTTCTGGAGTAGAAATATTCTTTTCTAAACAGCAAAACAGACATGAAATTAAAAACCAGCCAACCAACCAGAACTCCCTAAATTTCACTGTATTATATTCTTTCCAAGGCAATAGTATTTCTAGGTCTAATTGACAGCACGCAATTTTTGTAGTTATGTATGGCTCACTGTTTAAAAGAAATACAAGTATTTTCACAAAGTAGTACTTTAAAAAACAATAAACTCCTTATCTAAAAGACAGTAAAATTACTAAACAGGATGATCATATTTTTAGAAGCGCCATTATCTGTCCATTCTGAACTTAAACACTTACAGAGATGCTCAATGCTTTTGACACAGAAACTCATCCTTCAAGTGGATGAAGAACTAGTTCAGAAGATATAGCTAATTAACAAGTTTTTGTGGTTATATTAGACCAAATAAAAGAGATTTCTTTTGTTCAAAGCTCAGGAATACTTAAACTTAGATGCTGGATGGTGCCACAGAAAAATTTAAGAACACATAGGAATATGTGAAACAATCACTTTCACTGTCATGCATACAAAGGATTGAGTAATTCAGTTTCTAAAAAACTCTTCAGACAATTATTTAAATAAAATAACCAGTAGGCATGACCAAAGGTATAATATTTCTTTAACATAAATGAACACCTGATAATATTTTTCTTTGGCATCTATAAGAAAGAAAATATCTGTGGGAGACAACCAAAACTTTGCAAGAGAATGATATGATGTTCACAATGCAGCAGTTCATGTCTGTCAGTATATATATGTATATATATAAAATCCTAGCTTATAAAATAATATTTTATGAACTTTTTTCCACTTACCAAAGGAAAATATTATTACATAGTTTCAGTATTTTAGATATTTAAAATTTTTAGTACTTCTCAATAGAAAAATTAAATTTCTCAGAATACATAGTGACAAAAAAGTAGAACATCGTTCTATGTAACAATATATAAAATATACCTATAAATTTCGAAGAGTAAGAGTTTCTTTGTTTTCTCATAGATGCTTTCCTGTAGCCTGCTAGATCTAAATGTCAGGAGGCTTTCCCAGACTATAGTTTCCTTTCTTATGAATCCTTAAATTATTGCAAATGTATCTATTAAACAGTTGTCTCTTTTGGCAACCAAGAGGTTTCAAGTATTTTTAACATTATCTCCATTCATCTTCTTATGGCTCTACAGATGTAGTAATTTGTTCTTTTTTTCTTAAAATGTATAATTTACTCTAGATGTATCTCCTAAAGATTTAAAATTCTGATATTCTGCCTTTACAACATTCTCAGTTTCCTTGCCTTTGGATTATTTTATTTAACACCTCAAATGGTAGCGGATCTCCTTAGTACAGAAAGACTTTTGCTAGAGAGCAAAGAAAATATTTAATCAAGCTGTAAATTTTCCATTCATTATTTTGCCTGGGAACCATAACATATTCATTGAAATTGAAACCCTCAAATTAGTAAATTAAGTGATTAATTAGTGAAACTTCAAAATAAATCCAACATGGTAATACTATTTTTTAAATTGGATGCCTTTAATTTAAAGAAATATTTTAGGAAATTGAAAACATTGTTAAACAACAAAAATAATTAAGACTGGAATTTTTTGTTAAAATAAAAACAAAAAGGAAATTGTTATTGCACATTTAAAGCAGAAAACAAAACTGGGGCTAATTTATGCTTTTTCTGTGCCCTCATCTTCAACATGGTATCCACTGCATAGGTAAAAAAGACATATGAATTCTTTTTTCCTATATTTTGACAAAAAATTAATTACATTATTTGTAAAACAGAGTAAAAACAGAGACTACAAAGAGCCTATCAATAATGAATTTGAAAACTAGTCTAGTAGTGATTGAGTCAATCTAGGAAGACAGTCAGTCAACCTAATCCTAACTGCCTGATCTGGATTATTTGTGGGTGAACTACCTCACTTGTTTATGAACCTCTGTGCACTGCTAAATAGTATTTTCATGGTGGATTTCAGTAATCTGTACACGTAGGGTTTTTCCCTCTCCACTTGTAATTATATACAATGTATTGGAAGGAATATATTGCCCTTACATGAGTACGAAATATGTATTATTCTTCCATTACAAAATCCAAAATCCTGCTATATGCAGGTTTAACAAATCTCTCCCAATGAGGCTCTCCCAACATCTGACAGTCATGGGTCTCTTTTTTTCATCTGGTCTCGGACTTCATAGCATCTGCTTTAAACTTTATTATACAATTATGACCTAGACAAACTGAATTGAAGCACAGACTAACTCTGTATTCTTTCTTTCCACCCTTTACACAGTTCTCAGCACAATTCAGCCAAAGAAAAGGAAAGCCATTGCAGAGAACGATCAACTGATTTGGAATGAAATATCTACAGAGGGGTTTGTTGTATATCACTGTAAATCATTCCCTTTGTACGTCCCATCCTTCCATCTTTGAAATGGGCATAATTATGTTTGCACTTCTGATAAAGCACTTTTGATATCTACTAAATAGATAGATGGGTATTATTATCAGCTCTGGTCTTATTGAAGTGATGAAAGACAGAGCTGGCATGGAGAACCAACAGCCTATTCCCTGAAGAAGAATTCTCAAGGGCAGACAAATCACACCAGCACAGTGCAGTTTGCTTACTTCTATTCATGTCACAGCTATTTCTCAGATGTTACACTGGTGGCTATTGTAACTGCTAGTGGCTTCAATATTACTTATGATGTAAAAATTGTGTCCTAAAGCAAAGAAACCTCATTTATAATGAAAGTATTAATCAAATATGAGAAAGGGTTTTGCTGTAGTTCTTTCTCCTAGAGTTTAATGCAAGACCAAATAGAAAGATTAAGGAAAACATTAGAATAGGATCACAGATTCATGAAAGTTGGAAAGGACCTCTCAGATCATGGAGTCCAACTATTAACTGAGCACTGCCAAGTCCACCACTAAACCATGTCTGTAAGCATCACATCTACATGTTTTTTGAACATTTCCAGGGATGCTGATTCCACCACTTCTCTAGTCAGCCTGCTCTAATGCTTGACCACATCTTCAGTGAAAAAAAATTTCCTAATAACTAATCCAATAATGATAATCCAATAATGAATGGAATGCATTGCAAATATAGGATTTACTGATTGATCATACATATGCCCAAAAATGACTATGCTTTCTTTTACTTCATGTCTTTTTGCTACTCTAGTGAAAATCTAGGTATGAGTATTTCATGCATGCTCAAGTAAAAGGAGCTTTGCACTTAAGTGTAAAGTAAGCATCTAGGTAGAATCTTGCAAGAAGTAAAAAGAGTTACATATAAACCAAAAAAATCCACAATTTTGTTGTTAATATCTGTGTTTACAACAGATTTTCTGATTCTGATTTTCAAACAGGCAATTTTCTTCAGAAATACTCATTAAAGATACTTCTATTAGGAAATGGTTAGAATTTTGTCAAGACCAAGGGAATGAGAGAAGAACCAAATTTCCTGAAAATCCCCAAAACATATCAAAATGAATCCTTATTATATTTTTTTCTTATATTTATTGATTTAGGTTTTTCTTTGAGGGACCTTACATATTTCTTTTACAGCATTACTAATGATGTGAACATTTTTTATGGCATGCTTGGATTTGCAGTCTCCCTAAACTGCAATGTGTCCTGCAAATGAATAGTTCACATACTAGCATATTATGAGTGAATCATATTACTACTATAATAATTTCTTAATTGGTAAAATAAAGGTGACATTTATAGTCATATTTTGCTATAAAGAGGCAAATATTTCATTAATATGCATACATACACACATAGGTATGTACATGTGAATTTGTGATTTATGAATAATGGTAAGCATAATCAATAGTTTTATTTCATGTTATGTTCCTTAAGTGTATTTTTAGCGGGCCTTGCCCAAAGGCAGCAAGAGAAAGAGTCACACGATTTCAAGATACTATCTTGAGTATCTTAACTAAATAGAATTAGATATATATTAAATGTAAACTAACATGTTTACTAAACACAAATTAGAACAATTATATTTGGTTTACTATATACAGTACTGATATTTTTGACAACTATTATTATTACCATTACTTGTACTAGAATTAAATAGAACCTGGCAAGTATATTAAGTATAACTTAACGTGGTACATGGTTATTCTAATACCCACTGATGTGGGAACTAATCTCAGCCAAGAAAAGCAATTTAATTTCTCCTATACTAAAGCAGGCTTTGGAAGACAGGCTTTAACACTTTTTTACTGTACATTCATTTACTTCTAACAATTTAATATATGAAGCTCCAGTACGGTCTGGGAGACTTTCAGATTCCTGTATATATCAAAAAACTATTTTGAGTATGTGTTGAAAGCTTGTCTTGGCATAATGTCACATGCTTCTATTTCCAAGCAGTCACTTTTTGGTTGTTTAATCTGTATTCTGCTATCGATTTGTTCTGGTCTTTTTTTGGTTAAAGCCTGGGTCTTTTAACAAATGTCAAGGTTTACATATCCACTGTTTTGATAAGTAATGCAATATGTAATATGCTTTGAATGAAATTCTTGGTGTCCAAGAAGAAAAGCTTTGTTAAAAAGGTTATGATAGAATTTTATGATGCATAGTAGACGTCATAGGACATTTATCGATCCACCTAACATTGTGTGTCTGGAGATATAATTTATTCCAAAGTCCTTAACATATTGTATTACTTAAAAGCAAATAAGGCATAAGAAGGCATGGAGAAAAAAACCTCAAGATTTTAATGAAAGTGACCAGAACGAATCCTTAGCAGCAAAGCATTTACATCAATTTGAGCTCTGGAAAGACGGTAGGTTCAGCAGGTCTGTGAAAAAGGTAAATGTTACAATATCAGAAAAGTTAACTTTTTAATAATGTTACTTATGGCTATCTTAAAGTTGGATTTTTTTTTTTTTTTAGTTGAACTGTTTGCATAAAAATACGTATTGTGATGCAATTTTACATTATATTTTTTTATTTCAAAATTATATTTAAATAGCATTGAAAAC